TTAACAATAAAAATGACAGGGGGTGAGCTGTGGTGGTTTGTACCTGTAATTCTAGGCCAAGGAAGATGGCTTGAGCTCAGGAGTTCAAGACCAGCCTGAGCAAGAGCAAGACCCCATCTCTACTCAAAATAGAAAAGTTAGGCTCGGTGCCAGTAGCTCAGTGAGGAGGCTGGCCAGTTTGAGCCTAGGTCGGGCCCGCTAAATAACAATGACAACTGCAACTGAAAAACAGCTGGGTGTTGTGGTAGGTGCCTGTAGTCTCAGTTACTTGGGAGGCTGAGGCAAGAGAATCGCTTAAGCCCGGGAGTTGGAGGATGCTGTGAGCTGTGATGCCATGGTACTCTACCAAGAGCTACAAAATGAAACTCTGTCTCAGGAAAAAAAAAGAAAGCCAGATGCTGTACTTCCAGCTATTTGGGAGGCTGAGGCAAGAAGATCACCTGAGCCCAGGAATTTGAGGTTCTGTGAGCTAGGCTGATGCCACACACGCTAGCCTGGGGAAAGAGCAAGACTCTGTCTCAAAAAATTAAATAAAAAAGATGAGAAACAAGATAATTAACGCAGAAAGATTTCTGAAGTGGAGAGAAGTAAAAGCAAAGGTTTGTGTGAAAGGATCAACTGAAAAGGACAGTGGATAATCTATTCTGAAATAAGAGGAAAGAATGGAACAGTAGAAATAGGTGCAGAGGAAAATGCCAGAGACTCTGCTCAATGTGTTTACATACTTTCCTCAACTTTATATACTTTCTCAGCCACCCTGCAAAATGGGAGATATGACCTATCTCCATTTTATTAATAAGGAGATTGATACTCAGCACCATTGGTAAGTAAATGGTAGAGTTAGAGTTTAAGCCTAAGCCTGCTTGCCTCCAAAGTAAATAATCTTTCTGCTATCAGCCTCATCATCCCCAGTCTGTGAAATGAGGATAATAATAGAACAGGGTTTTTAGGAGGATTTAAGAAAATAATGTGTTCCCCACAGGCCTTCTATGAATATTGCCTTCCTCTTACCTGAATTGTTTCTATTCTTTTTTTTTTTTTTTTTTTTCCCATTTTTTTATTTACAGTTGATTTCTTTAAAATAGTATTC